TAGCATTACACTTGTGCACAACTCAACTAATTTGATAGAGCAATCTACATTTTTGCCTCCGCTAGAAACTAAATCTAAAATTTCATTATTATTAATCTGTCTTATTAATCACCAGGTCACACCACTACAAGATCCCTTCGTGTATATCTTCCACCTTGCCACAATCATAAGTCTGTTTATTATTCATAGCTATCACCTTGTCATAGTCACGAATCTTATTATCATGTATATCCGTTTATAGTCGCGACTCTTATCATAGTCAAACTAGAGATCATAATTTATCAAGTAAATATCGATTGCATAAACAAGGAAATACAATGCAAATTACTCTTTGCACTTAAAAATTACAATTCTATGAACTGAAAATCTGTAGCACTTTTATTACAATTATTAATTGAAAATAAATTAGTCAAAAAACTCTCCATTTTCTCTTTTCAATTCTAAAAAAAAAAAAATCCTAAATTCATCTCTTTAGAATAAAAATATTAAAAAATCATACCCAGAATCTTCAAAAAAAATAAATTACATTTCTTCTTTCTGCTCAATCGATTCTCTGTTCTTCTCGAATTCAGCAATAACCTTAGCTTCTACATCTTTCTCTACCTGTAAAATTGGAGCATAGTAATCGGAATGAGCTTCCATACATTTCTGCAAAGCAGAAGTAACTTGGAAACATTTTTCTGCAATGTCTTCATTGTTTTTTTCCCCTTGTTCAACGCATTTTTCCCAATCGATAAAAGGGTCTCTACATCCACCTTCTTTCATGAATAAACAGAACCCACATTCTTCTTCTTCTTCTTCGTCTTGTTTTTCCTCGTCTTTTTTGATAATTTCTTCTTGGGTTTTGGTATTTGTGTTGGATTGGGGATTTGGTTCCTGGGTTTGCGAGGAATTTGAAGAAGAAGAAGAAGACATAGTGGTGGAGTTGGTGGAGCTAGGGTTTGAGATTGAAGGCGGAAGGTAATTGTCTCCCTTTGTTGCTCCTAAAACCCCTCTTTAAGCCCTTTTTCTCAAAGATTAAAAAAACTCTTTTTTTTGTCATTACTTTTTATTTTAGAATAATTTTGCAAATGAATTTTATTTACATATTTATAACTGATATTTTGAAAAAAAAATTATGCTTGTTTTCAAACGTCTATTATATAAATAAGTTAATTATATAAAATATGTATGATTCTTTACTTATACATATTAAATTAAATATGTCAGGTTTGTAATTCAGGGAAGTGGGAACATTTGACGTCGATATCACAGATTGTATTGGTGCAGCGTGGATGAAGTAAAGTCTTTGCTTCTGGAGTTTCTTTGATAAAAAGGTACTATTAAAATTTAAAGGTAAATTTTATAAAATTGTGGTTAGACCGACGTTATTGTATGGGGTAGAGGATGCATATCGCGGAAATGAGGATGATGAGATGGATGTGTGGGCATATTAAGAGTGATAAGATTAACAATGAGGTTATTCAAGATAAGGTAGGAGTAACGTACGTGGTGGACAAGATGAGGGATGTGAAATTGTGAGGATTTGTACATGTGAAGTGGAGATGCATAAACGTTCCAATAAGGAAGTATAGAGGTTGGATGTAGTAGGCACGAGGAGAGGTAGTGGTAGACTGAAAAAGTATTGGGAAGAGGTAATTATACAAGACATGCCACAACTTCAGATTACCAAGGACATGACCTTAGATAGGACGGTATAGAGGTTGCATATTAGGGTAGAAGTTTAGTAGGTTGTGGAGTGATATCTTGCTTCGAGTGTTCATGTTTGTTGGTGTTTGTCATTATACTAGTTGTATTCTTATAGTTCTATTTTTTTTTAATTATATCATCATTTATTTATTGTGTTTCGGCTACTGTACTATTTTGTTATTGTTTATATTATTATTTTTTGGTAGGCTTTGCTTTGCTTCTCTTATTTGTTGTTATGTTTTTGTCACTCTTCTCTTCTTCTTATACTTAAAATTGTTGCACTTGAGCCAAAACTCTTTCGAACAACGTTTACCTCCATGAGGTAGTGATAAGACCTCCATACAATTTATCATCACTATACCCCAGCTAGAGGTATTCACTAGGTATGTTATTGTTATTGATATTGTATGGTCAGATGTGTTTTTCAACATTCAACTCCGAAAGAAAGTAAGAATTTATTTTTTCAATTTTTCATGTGTTAGCCCATGAATATATTGGTGATATGACTTTCGGAGAATTTCTTTGTGTAATCTTTATGGAACACTTTATAGGGAGTTGGGGGAACCGTACATATAGTCTCACCATTGTTGAGGCATTTTTGGGCATTTAGGGGCCAATTTATAGGAATTGAGTGATTTTCTTAGTTTTTCGTGTGTGTTAGCCCATTAATATTTTGGTGATATGACTTTTGAAGGATTTCTTTCTAAAACCTTTATGGAACCCTCCGTAGGGAATAGGGGAGAAGTATGTACCGTCTCACCATTTTCCTAAGACATTTAGGGGACAATTTACAGAAATTAGGCGATTTTCTCAATTTTCTTGTGTTAATGCCCATGAATATTTTAATGAAATGATTTCCGAATGATTTCTTTGCAAAACCTTTATTGAGCCCTCTGTACGAAGTAAAAGGAGTGGTACGTACAATCTTACCATTTTTCTGAGGCATTTTGGGGATTTAGGGCCAATTTACAGGAATTAGACGATTTTCTCAGTTTTTCGTGTGTGTTAGCCCGTTTATATTTTGGTGATTGATTTTCGTGTGTTAACCCATGATATTTTGGTGATCTGTTTTCGTGTGTGTTAACCCATGAATATTTCGGTGATATGACTTCTAAATGATTTATTTGCGAAACCTTTACGGAACACTCCATAGCAAGTTGGGAGAGTAGTACATACCGTCTCACCATTTTCGGGCACTTAGGAGGTGATTTACAAGAATTAAACGATTTTCTCAATTTTTCATGTGTTATCCATGAATATCTTGGTGATATGACTTCCGAGTGATTTCTTTGCGAAATTTTTACGAAACCCTACGTAGGAAGTTGAGGGAGCAATATTTTCCCTACTTCTTAAAAAGTCACTTCACTTATTTTTAAGAAGCTTGGACATTGTTGAGTGTTAATTCATACATGGGAAAGTTTGAAGACTGGGGAGTTGATAGAATCAATAAAACACACCAAATCATAATACCCATGGGAAATAATTAAAGTGAGGAGCAAGTGTTGCAGACATAGTTCTCTTCAAAATAAGCAGATAAGCATAAGTTGCTGCTTCAGAATGCATGTTGATTCTATGGCCTCTTTAAGTACTAATTAGAAATTAGAACCAAAGAGCTATCTGTTGATGGCATGACCTTCCTCTGGTATGCTTTCTAGTCTCCAATTGTTATTATTTGGCTAGATTTACTTGTCACCAATTCAGGGAAGGTTAGAATAAATCAACTGATACAGTGCAACTTAACATGGAATTTGAGTACATGCTGCAATGACTACACTATTGTACACAATGCGGGCATGATATAACGTAACCTTCCTAGTTTCTAACTGGAGATTCTACTACAAAGAAAGGGATTTGAAAATGAAGAAAATATGTCGAATGATCCCTTCAATTTGATCAACCGGTAGAATTGTTCTCTTCACCAGGGTTCTGCTTAATCCCACTGCAACAAAAGAAATGTGGCAACTTGACTCGACCACAAGCCCTGCAAGTTTGTTTGCATCAACAAGATATGTCAAAGAGTGTTATTATGCAAAAGGAGTTGCAGGCAAAAAGAGCAGAGCAGATAGAGGCTAACGTAAGATGTCATGCCCTTGTCTCGGCGTTATGAACTACTATAGAGAAGCATCATGATCAATAGTAACTCTAAGTCACACACAAAGAGGAATACCGGCTTTAATAGTTTCTTTGCTAGTGAAATGTGTACTATTGTAAAGCAAGGATATATCATTCTCCAAACATATGAAGAGGTCATACTAATAATATCTTATATGGTTAATCGAGAAAGATAACACGTCGGACCACATTATCATATAAGAAGGAATGTCCTGCTCATGACTTTTAACTTTTAAGCAAGGATTACTGACTGCATGAAAAACCTCAGAGACTCAAACGTTCAATATATACTCCTCATTCAGTCACTTAAAAAGATAACATCTTTCAAATCATTTTCTAAACCAAATTATGCTAAAAACTTAGATTCTCTTGAAAGCTGACTCAATGTTACTCTACATATAAGCACTGGCGTTAAAACGAGCCATCAGATGTTTTTCAGCAAAATTAAGAATATAAAACTGAAAAGAAGAAGGAATTAACAATGAACAAGACGGGGGCTTATAGAGGAAGAGAGTTGTCAATAATAACAGCAGATAAACGAAATTCAAAACAGGCAAATGCCTGGAAAAAGAAAATGTGGATAGCAGATAAAATCTCCCTGACATTCGGAAACACAACCATACATTTTCTGACAGCGTGTTTGTATCTTTCCTGAGTAGATGAACAAATTTTTTGCCTTTTAATCACAGTAATCAATTAATTCTGTTTTTTATTAGTAAAGAGAAACCTTTAACTGTCATCTGCTTCAAAACACAGTTAAGGCTAATGCTGTCAGCAATTGACACTTCAACAATAAGGCAAAATGCTGCCACCACCAACCCCCCAGTTTAAAGCAAATTTTTGGAACTGAAGTGCTTCAACTAAAATAAAACCAACTATAGTAATAGTATGCAGTTATAGAACCTAGTTAGAGATATTAATCAACAAAGTCACCACTGAAAGTTTCCAAGCACTTAATTTCTCAATCAAACATTTTTGACTCGGTCCAAGTTCTTAGACCGATTGCTTCCTTTCATTTATCAGTACACAGAAGAAAAACAACAATTTGAACTTCCAAATAGAAGGTTAATGACCAAATAATGGCGAATAAGCTAAGCAATCCAATGCAAGTTCAATACATGGAGTAATTATCGAAATAATCATTTCCTTCTTATTTGATTTTCTTTTACTCAAAAATTGTATGCCTCCTCTTTTACTCTTTTTATTTGTTTTACTTTTGTACTAATTTGGGGGAATAAGGTGTTTTCCAAATTCAAATATTAGATTGTCCTCGAGATGTAAGTTCCTATTATTTTTGAGAGATTGCAGGTAGAGTCGTATTTTTTCCAATAAACTCAAACCAGCTCTTCTAAATTCAAGAGTATACAGGCTAAATGACACCAGGGATTTTGCTTATTAGTTAAAACTTTTCAAATCCAAATTGTATTCTTTGCTGGAAAAGCTCTTACTTGCAACGAATAATCACTGGAACGGGTTTTAGAGCCTTTGGTCCATTCCTTATGCCTCTCTTGTGAGGAGAAACCTGCAGTATTAACCATAATCCATTAAAAAAAACAGTCAGATGTAAATTCTATAACACTCTCTCTTCCACATAGCACCATCCAACACACATAAGTTCAGAGCATGTACATATTTTATGCATACATGTGATAGAATAGGAAAATCTACGCAAGCGCAAAGCCAACATGCACAACCAGATGAAAAACATTACAAACGGTTAGTTTAGTTTAAAACAATGACCTATGTTGCTCAATACCATACCCCTGCCTCATGGAGGTAGAGAGACTATTTCCAAAAGACTCTCGACTCAAGTAACGCATATCATCGCAATTTGAAAAGGAAAATACAGAAGAAACGAGGACATATCAAATAATAGGAGAAGTATTACATAGCATTTAGAAAACAAGGAATAACAACAGCCAAATAATGCAATAACCAAAGCACAAGAAACAATAGCTAGTAACAAAAATTGTAGGATAAGTAACTACAAGAGTAAATGATGCTATTGGTATGAAAGGAGAAACATGTATGGTGCACGTGCACCAAACTACCACCAAGCCTATCCATAAGAAAGTGAGACAATGCTCACTAATCCGTAATCTAGTCATGTCCCCGATAAGCTGAAGATGTGTCATGTCTTGTCTAATCGTCTCTCCTTAATACTTCTTAGGCCTACCTCTCCTTAAACCCACCGCAGTCAACTTCTCACACCTCCTCGTGGGGGCATCTTCGCATCTCCTTTTTATATGCCCAAACTATCTTAGACTCGCTTTCATCATCTTCTCTACCACGGAGGACACTCCTACCTTCTCCTAGATATCTTATTATTAATCTTATCTCTCCTAGTATGCCCACACATCCACCTCAACATCTTCTAATCATGGCTTCATTGCTTATTTATCAAATGTTTATGGTTTATTAGTTGCTACTTAACTTATTGATACGTGCTAGGACACGACTTGCATTTTGAGAGGATCCGACCCCGGTGCAGCATCATTTTAGAGGATCCAAGCGACAGAGAGTCAGAGACAATGTCTTTGCTTTTCTACAGCAAGGATCATATCCCAATCTATCACTGATCCTCAAGGGGAAAGATATGTTCACAGTGATCCTAAGCGGCAACTAACTTCAGAATATTCCTCGAGTCATCTAGCTTGTATTGCCTCTAATTGCTATGCACAAGCAAATATGCAATACTTCCTAAAAATTCAGTGCTATATATCTATCATATTAAAGGATATATTTAACGATTCAATGGATTAAGCTAAACTGAGCTGAAACCGGCAACAGTTCTAAAAAGAAGGATCTTTGAGGGGGGAAAAAATCAAACCTTCTTCTTAGGAACAGCCATAAGCTCCATGGACCCCCAATTGAAAGGTGAATTTGGAAACATGTTGTTGTTATTCTCATTTTCAGGTAAAACCAACGACGGTGAAGTCGCCGTCAGCCGATCAACCACGCTATCTAGAGGCGCCGGACGTGAAGTGATGTGGATAAATCGTCGGAGATTAGAGTTCACACCGGCGAACTTCCCGGCAGTTCGTAGCATCGTACCCCTTAACGCCATTTTTGCTGCGTTTTGGCCGTGCTGAGAATAAGCAGAAGAAAGAGTGAAACACTAAGGGCTCGGAAGTTTTATGGGCCGAGTATAATGGGCCGTCTCCTTTTTGCATTTGTTCGATTAATTTTGTTGGATACACTGTATTTATTCACTCAACTTAATTATACTATAATATACAATTTCGTTGGATATATTATATCTATTCGCTCAATTTAATTATATCAACACATATATTTTATTGGATATAATATATATTCACTTGCAATCGAAATACATTATATATGTGTTTTATTTGAGATGTATTAGTATACTGTATACACAGTACACTTCAATATACTTTAGAAATCATCATCCCAAAACACCACACATTCGATTGATATGCATACAATGTATACTTGTATTTTTTATTTGTTTTTGAGTGTATGCACATATGTATGAAAAATGAACTTTTGATACATGTATGTACCCTTTATGCATGTTATTAGATGAACCTTTTCTGAACGAATACTATGATCGATTAAAATCATAGCCTAAAATATTTAAAAATTATTTTGGTGTCAATTTGTTTTTAATACTTGTGATATTATATGCCATTTATGATTTAATGTTGATATCCGATGTCAAATTTCATTGCATATACGTATTTATTATTTTATCATAATTAAGTATATCATAGATAATTTTAACCATTTAGATTAAAATGGTTTATTTTGATTTGATATAAAAATTGGATGCAAATAAATAATTTCATTATGCATCAAATTGTTAAAAGAAAATAACTCGATTTTTTTTTTCTTCAAAAGACCACCTTTAGGGTGGGGGTTAGGCATGACCCCTACCTTATATATTAAAAGAACATAACAAAATACATGAGCGAGAGGGATATATTGCCTAACCTCTCCAATAAAATATAAAATTATGGACAATTTTTATTTTTTTGGATATCCAAACGAAATATATACACCACATAATTTTTTTTGAAGAAAGGACAACTAAGATCAATCATGTAAAATAAGCAAATTAGAATTAATAATTTATGGCAAAAATATCAAGGGGTTAATATTGAGTATTTTTATGGTCAATGTTGAATATCATCGTTGGTTCTATCACTACAATTAAAATAACTTTTTGTGGCAATACATATGTACGTTACTAAAGAGTATTAAAATCTTTATTAGCATTAGTTAATTGTCATTTTTTTTTATGTTACTATAGGTTTTAACGAAATTTACAAAAAAATATTAAAATGTAATTGTCACTAGTAATTTTTTTACACTATTATATATAGCAAGGCTAATATGGTAATATAAAAATAGAAGAGCAACCTATTATTAAAGAGGCACAACCAATTAAATTGACATGATAGATGTAAAAATTCAATGTAGATATAATTTGAATCTTCATTTATTTTTTATCTACTACATTTGAAGTTTCAGGCCTACTACTTAGTTAATTTCTTTGGCTACCATTATCCTAGATTTAGGTAAAACTTTTAAAAAATAAGTTATAATTCAATTCAATCCATTAAATATAGCCTATAGTTCGAATAAATGATCATTTCAAAATGAATCAAATATTGATATTATTCAATAAAAATGAATAATATAAATATTCACATTATCAATATGCATTTTTTGATATTTTTTATGAGTTTTTAATTTTTGAGAGTCTGAACTTATTTTTTTATTTTTAACTTATGTTCTTACCTGATCATGAATATCTATAAATATTTATATCATTCATCCAATCATGTCTCTTATATCCAATCCTACCCATTCATTTGCCATTTCTAACTACGAACGGAGCAGATTATTTCATGTCATGTCATGTCATGTCATAGCGTCATAGAGCTAAACAATTTAATGACAAAGGAATAGATGTAAGGATCAACATTAATAAAATTTAACTATACAAAACATATCCATCTGGTTTAATAAGTGACAATTCAATTGGGGGTGGTGAGGACCAACAAGCATTCATAAATATTTCAGCAATTACGTACACCTGTCTTGTTAATAAGTGGCAATTTTAATTGATGTAGATACTTGTTATACCCCAGCAAGTTACTTCTAAATAAGAAAAATTAAAAAAAAAAGTGATAATTACTTTTATTTTTTCTGGGGTATGATTTTAGCACTCTAAAAATGTGATAATTATTTAGAATGTACATTGTTTTATGTGATAATTACTATTGTCGATAAAGATTTTAGCATTTTTTGTTAAGATGCATATTTATTACCGATAAATTTTTAGCAGTATTAAATATGCATCTTAACAAAGAGTGCTAAAATCTTTACCGACACTAGTTAGTTGTTATTAGATCCAATATCACTATAGACTTTAACGATATTTACAAAAAGTGTTAAAATGTGTAATTGTCACTAGTAACTATCGCTAAAAATATACATTTAGTGGCAATTAAACTATTATCATTAATTATTTATCACTAAAGATCATTTTTAGTATAGTGAAATAACTATGCAAACCATAATCTTGGACTATGGTCCTTTCTTAATTTTACTTTCAGTTTAGTTAAGATTGTATCAGAAAATTTAGTGCTACTGAACAATGGTACATAATAGAAATATGGATAGAGTCTGGCTTAGTAAAGAGAGTTGTAGAATTCGTAAAACAGAAAAAAGATTAAGCATCTCAAAATATGAGGCAAACGATATTGCATTTTGACTTTGTCTCTCGGGATCTATCACAAATTAGGTTTAAGAGTCGTGTGTATATGAATGACTATTCAGCATGGTTTGAAAAGTATCTTTTAATTTTTACTGATAAATGAAAGCACCTTGAAAGCTAGAAGTATTAAAGGAATAGTGTTATGAATTATAAATCTATTTAATCATAACTATTAATCCATCATCACTAAATCAATAATATATTTTAAAATTTAATTTATCGATCAAACACAAACGTATGCCCCTACAATGTCGTGGCTTCCCACACACCAAATTTTATGTACTGTAAACTTTTTTATGAATTGAAAAAAAGAGACTAAAAATAAATGTGATCATTACTCAAAGGCTCCACAAAATTCTTGAGAAAGTAAAGAATTAATTGTCATAATTATACCGACCTTATGACTATTTAAATCAGAACTGAAAAATTCATAACATAAAAAAGTACGACAGATGGGATATAATTAGTAATATTGAAAAAAAATGGACAACTATTTTGTACGTATGCACTAAAATTTAAATAGTCCCACAATATATTTATGGTACTTAAACATAATTTTAAGTAATAGATATGTTGCAATGGTAATAGTTTAACTATTGCTACACATGCTTTTTAGAGACAATTAACACCTTTTGTAAATGTTCTTAAAGTCTATAACAATATTGAATTCAATGACAATTAACTAATGTTAATAAAGACTTTAATACTTTTTGGTAATATGAATTTATTGACGTTAAAACTTATTTTTGTTACCGTGAACACCTTATTTAGTTGTGCTCTGATATTTTGGAGAAATACATTATATATATAAAGTTAATTTTTTTTCTTAATGTGTTTATAGTAAATTTGAATATCTCTTGTTTCTTGTGTCGATGGTTTATTGGAAATTAAACAATCTCACTGAGGTGGAAATAATGTGTGAATATACTCTACGATTTTCAAACCCTACATTATTGCACTGAATATATATTATTGAATATCCCCTAGTATTTTTCATATTTACTTCTTTTTATTTTGAGTCACCTTGATAAAAATCTTGATTCCATCGTTATTCACGTACATGGCTCAAGAAATTTTGAAATCTTCAAAAGTTTGCTCAGCTTCAATTTACAAGAACCTAGTTCTTCTCAAATTTTATACTGAATTTACAAGAACATAGGATTCTTTTATAGAAAATCATCATGCTCAATATGTTTAAAAAGTCCGATCTACTCCACGCTAAAATTTAGATTACAATTTTTTGCAATCCAAAATTTAAAGTCATATTCCATCAATCACTAGATTGAAGCAAAATGTTATTTCTCAAAGAAACGACAACCTATCAACACTTCTAAGTAATTGTTACAACTCGATAACTTAAGACAATCAATAGCGTACACAAAAAACAAATTGTAAATGATGTCGATATTTAAATAATTAACCAAATTGTTGATTAATGAATAAATTATTTAAATCATATTTAATAAAACATAATTCATGTAAATTACTACATCTTTTTAGAAATAGTAATTTTTTTCTTTCAAGTTTTTAGTTGAACTTATTCAATATATCAAATACTATATTTTCTAAGCATTGTATATATGTGAATTATATGTTTGGTTGGTTGGTACTTGGTACAAATATTTATTTTTAAATAAGGAATTGTCGGATCGAGTCTAACTCAAAACCAGATTTTTAATTAGCAGATAAAGGTAGAGTCATTGAACTCATAGAGTAGCTAGTTAATTTTTATTATTTGTACATGTAATTATCTCTCTTTATATATATCAAATTTTTCGATTAAGTAGTCATGTCGGATGACCCCCCTTGAAGGTAAAAGTCTCAAACATACCATTGAATTTTGATAAAAAGTTCATTTGTGTCATCCGGTAAAAGTTTGACGCATCTGTCATTTTCATTTGAGAAAAAACTCATTTCTACCATTGTTTGTTAACTGAAATGACATAGATGTGCTAAACTTTTGACGGATGACATATATGAGCCTTTTCTCAAAATTTGATAACATATTTGAGTCTTTTTCCTTTCAAAAATGATATAATTAATGACGTGACCAAATCATAATTGACCATGGGTAAAAATGGTTTTGCAAAATTTTCAGTTAACAAATAATGACATAGATAAGTCTTTTTCTCAAACGAAAATGACATAGATGAACCAAACTTTTAACCAATGACATAGATAAGCTAGTCTTTTTTCAAAGTTCAATAATATATTTATGCCTTTTAATAAAATAAAATACAAATCTCCAGCTTGATTCATCACAGTTTCTAAGAATAGCTTGAACTCTCTAGACTTGAATTTCCTGATTACTAGTCAATTAATTTCTACAAGATATGTCAATAGAGCCTCATGTGTATATGTATGTATCTTCAAAACATCACTTAAACTATATATATATATACCATTCACCACCATATTCTTCTCTTCCCCTCCATGCATGTTCACCTCTTAATTTCTTTGTTACTCTTACTTCTTCTTAATTTGCTCAACAATGGCATAGCTATGTCGACTGAAGGATGGTCACTTGAACATCTTTAATTTGTTGAAAAACTATATTGTGCATATGAAAAATAATACAACTGTAAAAGTTAAGTTAACGGTACAACAAGATTTTTTTAAAAAAAAATTCTTGATATATATGCTAAAGTGAAACAAGTAAAAGTAAACAGAGTGAGGAACATATATTAATCACTAAGAATGAGACTATAGTAAAAGAAACAAAATTAGGTGTGTATAAGAAAGTTGATTATTCTTTTGGAGTAATTGCCAAGGTGGATATGTTACTTTAATTTGGTGAGTCATTTATGGTTGCCATCAGTTCATGTTTTTGAAAAGATCATTTCACTATTTCATGGACCACATCAATTAAGGAATCAAATAATCTCCTTAAATTTTCTGTATTCAGAAATTTATGTATTACTATTTAATTATTTTAAAGTTTGTGGTACAACTTTGGTCATAACATTTAATTCTTTCTTTTCATATATACTCTCACTTATCTTTCCATAATTGCATATCACCAAAAGAGGAAAAAGAGAAACACCACATTATATATCTTATTAAAATTTGGAAGTATAGGTTATAATTAAAATGGGAAGATCACCATGTTTAGATAAAGAGGGTTTGAAGAAAGGACCATGGACACATGATGAAGACCAAAAGCTCTTGGCTTATGTTGAGGAACATGGCTATGGTAGTTGGAGTGATTTGCCACTTAGAGCAGGTAATTAACATTATAAACTTTATTCATTTTGTAGCTAGGTTTTCTTTTCAATCCCTACTTCTTTTTTGTTTTTTTGGTTTAAAGTTTTTAAAGGATAGTAATGGTAAATATATAGGTGCCACTACTAAAAATAATGCAAAAATCGATGGACAGGGTTAGTCTAGAAAATCAAGAGAAAATGGATTTTGTTGATTAGTTTTTTATTTTTAAAATCTAAAGATTCTTTTAATAGAAAACAAATAGATGTATGTCAGTTATTTTTTCGCGCAAAAAATTATAATTTTTGGATTTGGCTTTTTTTAAGGGTAAACCGACGTAGTCTCTCGATTTCTTATAGTATTTTTTTAAAAAAAAAATCAATGGACAGAGTTGGTTTTTGAAAGTAGTGCAAAATATGAGTTGAAGAGTATAAATAAAAACGATGGTTATTTCAATATCAAAAAGTATGTGTGGTTGCGTGGTAGACTTATCTAAAGCCATAAAAAATATTTGGGTTCATGTAGCTACCTCTTTATGTTATATTTTAGAAAATCGATCTTATATATAATCTTTATAAAATTTCTGATTACATCGCTAATTTAATATTATGTACATTTTTTTTCACATTTGAACTATAGGGCTTCAGAGATGTGGAAGGAGTTGTAGACTGAGATGGATCAATTATTTAAGGCCTAATATCAAGAGAGGAAAGTTCAGCTCTGAGGAAGAAAGAACCATCTTTCAACTTCATGCTCTTCTTGGAAATAGGTAATAGCCGGAAAAAATGGACCGATAAAATTTTGAATTTCCTTAGTTAAAATTCTGACTCTATAGTTCACGTATATTTTATTAAGTGATTTGTGCAATAGTAACATATTTGGTTCATTTCTTTATTTATTAGGTGGTCAGCAATAGCATCTCACTTACCAAACAGAAGTGATAACGAGATAAAGAACTACTGGAACACACGTTTGAAGAAGAGATTAATCAATATGGGCGTTGATCCCATGACTCATCAACCAAAGAGAGATGGTTCAGATTATAAGTCCATTGCTAGCCTTAGACATATGGCTGAATGGGAGACTGCTAGACTTGAAGCAGAGGCTAGGCTTGTCCGAAACAGAAGCACATACAACAACAACAACGACGTCAATAATAATAATAATCCTTATCATCGTCCTCTTAATGATTTGCAACGAATCCCTTGTCTTGACATACTAAAAGCTTGGCAAATGTCGCGCACAAATGTACTAACTATAAATGACATTAGTGCAATTCTTCTTGATGGTTTTATCACTAACACAAGGACAAAAATATGTGATTCTACAACACGATCTACGTTCAATAATATCGAAGAAAATGTAGAGGTTGGTGAAGACCTTTGCATATTTGAAGATACAATGAGAAAAGATAATGACATCCAAACAGAATTTTCCATCATTGAGGGTTTAGATGAGCTTTTTCCAGAATATGGTTGTAGCCAAAACCCTGGAAACTACTCAAGTGAAGTACAAATGGATAGTGGCTTTGGAAATTTTGTAGACAACAAGAGTACTAATTGGAACAACATTGCACATTTGGTAATGACTTCACCAATTGGATCTCCATTATTCTAAGTATTCATGATAGTTTGGATTATTTTGTATGCACTTTTTTTTTTACCTTTTGATCATGACCTGTCGTGGTGAATTGGATGAGATCTCTTCACGCTGAATAAAAAATATTTGATTTGAGCAAGGAGAATGGAGTAACTTCTTGTTGGGGTCTTCTCCTTTGATGATATTTTATCTGAATTTGTCGGTATATTAATTAATAAATAAATTTTTTATCAAGATCTTATATTAAAAATTATTTTCTTATAAATGATCCTTGGGGGTCTACGTTTGACCTTGAATATCTATCTATTTCTCTATATATAGAGTGTTTCACAAACCGTAAAAGTCATCTAATAAGTAAACTTAGCTATATTTTCTTATATCCATATAATATATGTAATAGTGTTTTTATTCATAAGGTTTAGGGTTAAAAGAGAAGGACAAACTAATAGTTTAATACTAACCGTCTAATTAGCATCTTCCACTGACCCAATAATTATTTCCAACACGTGGTTTAAACTATCCTTAATCATTATCTCCTTACATTTACTTGCTCTATTAAAAAACTTTTGGTGAATCTATAGGAAGTAGGAAGTCCCCCGGGAGCGGTTAGATCTCTCTCTAACTAGAATTTTTTTAAGAGAAGTTCCCGGGGGATAAGTGTTGGAAAAGAAAGCTATCTAAGAGGCAGAGGTTGACTATAAACTTCATCTCTCTCTGGACCTCAAGGAGTTTTTCCAGAGCTGAATTGCGCGTGCACTTCTGCCAGAGCAGAATCACGTGTGTACTTGGTGTATAACCTCAGCAGTATCTTCCATCAGAACCCAAAATCGGCAACGAATATGTAGATATAGTCAAACTTTGTGAAGTAAGAATATAAACAATGCAATTTTTACTGAAAGTTAAAATATAAAGTTGGAATAATATCAAAACTTAAGAATTTAAGAAGTTGATATATTGATTTTGAAATAGTGTTGTTTTGAATATGATAAGTTGATCTAATACTATTGAATAGTGTTGCGCTAATTCAATATAATGATAACTTGTTTTAATGCTTGAAATTTAAAGAAGACATCAAAAAGCAAATTTGATCTTTTTGTTAACATAAATAGATTTTGCATAATGAAGAAGGTTTGACCGTTTGAGAGACTTAAAAATATTCAATAATAAGAGAATAAAATAATGAAAAGGGAATGAAAAAGGTAAATATAGAAATAATAGTGTGCATTCATGTTAGACGTTAGGATATAAATGAAAAAACGAAATAGATAGTCACCTTTAAAATTATTCTATTTCTCAATGATTACATCGATGTCCATGTTCAATAACATATGTACGTAAAAAGTTATAATGTTTTCCTCCTAAAAAATTCTTTACGAATTGTGAACTATTTTTAATAATATATATACGTACAATACATATTTAGGGGGGGAAATGACGCCCAAAACCTAAGTTATTGCTTTAGTTGTTTTATCGTCGAGCTAATCTGAATATTTAGAATTTATCAAAATATTCTTTAATCATGTGATCTTTAACATGGCATATGTTAAAGTTAAAATTAAAAAGTTTGTCAAGAAAATGAAAGAAACATTTTTTAAAACAAACTAATAAAAAGTAAGACAGACCAACTAAAACTGATAGAGTATAACTTAAAGTTCATGTAAATAATGACTTGAAGTGGATAGCTGAAAACTGACATTATATTTCTACTAGATACATTGTATATTCCTCCGTTCATTTTTGTTTATCACTATTTGACTCGACACATTCATTGAGAAAAACAATATTGATATAGGTATTTTACCACATTATCCTGATCAAATGATGTTTGGTATTGAGTTTTAAAAAATGTTTTGAAGAATAAGTATTTAATGTTGAGGATTAAACATGAATTTTTTTTATCTTTTCTTCATATATAAAAATAACAAGTAAAAATAAAAATTTATTTTTAAAATAAGTGAAAGTAAAAGCTACGTTCCCCTCTTTGTTGCCTGACTATTTTGAGCAGAGAAAAATTGGGACCATACGATGGGGCACACTATTTTAATTTCTTATAAACAAGTATTCCCTTCCTTAGAATCAACATTGAATTCTAAAACTTATTAAAAGAAAAATCTGCAATGGTAGGTATAATTAATATTCCCTTCGTTTCATATTAATCAATTATTTTTTTTAAAATAGTTGTCTCATTTTAGTTGCTCACCTTATTAAATTAAGAAAGCATTAATTAAAATTTTCTTATATTACCTTTGTAAATAATTTTTTTTAAAAGTGTTCTCGTTTGTTTGTTAAATTTCTAAGAAGTTTTTTAATAGGCAGATTAGTAAAAGTATTTTTTTATTTATATTTTCTTAATATGCGTGTAAAAAAAAGATGAGTCGCAATAACTTTCTTTTGAAAAAAATACTACTCCCTCCGTCCCTATTTACTTGTCCATATTTCCTTTTTTAGTTGTCCCTATTTAGTTGTCCCTATTTAGTTGTCCATTTTGACAAATCAAGAAAGAACAACAAATTTTTTCCTATTATACCCTTATTTACACTTCTTGAAAATTGTAAAAGTGTATGTTGTTTCCCTCCAATTTATTTCACTTTAATTCAAATAAGTGGTTGTAATTTTGAAGTGAAAAGTTGTCATAAGGGTAAAATTATAACTTCACTGTGCTAATCATTGTTGCCTTAATCTGTGTGCCATTTCTAAAGTGGACAACTAAAAAGGGACGGAGGGAGTACGTCTGTATATCTCAATTTATTACTTTTCTTTTAAGTTAATCCCAAAAAATGACGCATTTTTATATGTAGTACCAATTTAACTTTAATATGTCATTTATATCCTTAATGAAATGATTTCTTGCCACAAAAATATCTATCACTTATTTTAAATCATAAATTTTAAATATATTTTTTTAAAAAAAAAAAACTTAATATCAAATCAAAGTAATTCATATAAATTGAAATAGACAAAATAATTGATAATTGATAGCAATAACTACTGTTACATATACTGATATTATTGTTTGCATTAATTTTTGGAAACAACGATGTTTCACTGTTATATCTGCATGTGACCTTTTCTTCCTCTTTTAAAGCTGCACATTGCTATATTATGATTTATGCTCATAATTATAATACCAAAAGTCAGTAATGTAGCAACAGATGAGCACAGGAATTTGTGTGGTTCATTTTTACAATTGTCATGTAAATTTAAAATATTTTTTTCTTTACTTTTCCTCTTGAACCAATCGAAAGATTTTGTTATAAAAATTATTGTAGTATGATCATAGGCGGAGTTAGGTGGGATTCATGGGTTTGGATGAATTCAGTAGTTTTTTCTATTTATACTAAAAAATTAAATAAATAATATGTATATTAACTTGTTTCAGTTTTAGGTATGTTGTAAATAACATTATCACTCTTACGGTTTAATTCACATAACACACACACACATATATATTATAGTATTTTCTTATTTATTTTTCTCGTACCTACATTCAGGGGCGGACCTATGTTCATTTTAGGGGGTTCACCCGAACCCCTCGTCGAAAAATTACATTGTATATATATAAGGAAGACTTCTGATTTTAAGCGTATAGATACTAAAATGAACCCCCTTAACATCCAGAAGAGGAGCATGGCTCACTGGTAAGGGGGTTCATTTCTAAACTGCACGTTCCGAGTTCGATTCTTGGTCAGTGCAACAAGTTTTAACCTTTTTTATTGCTTTGAAAAGACTGAGATGGGCTCAGTTTTGGGCTTAGAATACCCAATAAAAGGCCTCATTATTTTTGAATTCAATCTAAAACTATATTATTTTTGTTTTTTTAAAAAAAAAATTATGTTATCTCTTTTTCTCAATTTATCTTTGTTTAAATTTATTAGCCACATTTTTTATATTTTTGTCTTTTATTCTTCTTATTTATATTGCTCATTTTATTTCCACATAACTCTCTTCTCATGCACTAACTTAAAGAAACTCTTTGAGAAAATGATGTATTGTTATTAAATTTAAAAGTGAAAATTACAAAAATATACTCCTTAAGACTTTTATTAACAAAATATCAATATATTTATATTTAATTACAAACTAAGTTTTTAAATTACATACATAACAAACATTTAATTTTTGTATTTAATTTAATTTTGTTTTACAGATTTTTCTCTCTCATACTATTAATATTTTGTGCCTTTTATATGGAGTATAATTAGGATATTAATATTTATCAAATATTCTCTCTCCTAAACAGTTTCAAACTTTTTTTTGTTTATAACAATAACATTTTAATTATACATATGACAGCTTATTAAATATATATATCTTCACACGTGTTTATACCTATTTTTGTGCCTTAGTGGCTTATTTTATGGAACTCATTATTTATTACTTTTACCATTTAGATTATCAACACAATTATAATTGCATACATTTCTTTTACTTAAATTTTTTTTTTCTCTTTTTTACTTGATACAATTACTATGGTAAAAAATATTTTTCTCTCTCTTTAATTACGTTTTTCTTAAATTATCTGTTTTAGATTTTGATGCTAATTTTTTCTCTCTCTCTCTTCAATTACGTTTTCTTTTTTAATTATCTGTTTTAGATTTTGATGCTAATTTTTCTCTCTCTTCAATTACGTTTTTTTTTTTAATTATCTTTTTAGAATTTGATGCTAATTTTCTCTCTCTCTCTCTTCAATTACGTTTTTTCTAATTATCTTTTTAGATTTTGACACTAATTTTTAGGGAGTAAAAATGTATCATCTAATTAATATGATTTCTATCCTTAAACACGTTTCTCATTAATTTCATACAATTACGATTGAATTTATTTTCTCTCTCTTTAATTTCATTTCAACTATTATGGGAAGATCTTTTTTTACTTCTCTCTTCAATTTTATATATGTTAGTTAAAAAGGGGTGGGGTAGGGGGTGAGTATATTAAATGGTATAGAATTTGTATTATATCGTTGACCATTTTTTTGTAATTATAATAAATAACTTATACCAAAATATAATCAAATTTTA